AAATTGTAATATGTTCAGTAGTTCTGTTTATACACAATCAAGTACTATTGATCAAGATGACCTCAGACGGAAATGTTTAACATTCCAAGCAGGTTTTGTGAGCCAACACTCACGTAACTGGGAATTGCTTACTAGTGACCCAGTTATTTTAGATGCCATAAAGCATTATCACATAGAGTTTGAGGCAGACTTCCCTAAAAAAACCATGAAACCTAAAAGTATTCGTTCTCTAACACAGAATTTGATGTTGTAAGTTCAGAAATATCAAAATTACTCTCAAAAGAAGTGATTGAGTGTACAGAGAGCAAACCTGATGACTGCCTCTCTAACATATTAGTAAGGCCTTAATAGGATGGCACTTATAGAGTGATTCTGAAATTGAAACCACTTAATGAATTTGTAGACTACCATCATTTCAAGATGGATACGTTTCATACTACCCTCACGCTTGTTCGGAGAAACTGTTTTATGGCATCTGTAGACTTAAAAGATGCTTTCTACTTCATACCGATTGCAACAGAACATCGTAAATATCTCACTTTTGAGTGAGATAATAAGTTGTACCGCTTTACCTGCCTTCCCAATGGCTTATCATGTGCCCCCAGAATATTTACAAAAATATTGAAACCTGTTTATGCACATCTAAGATCACTGGGGCACACCTGCATCGGCCACATTGATGACTCACTGCTAATTGGATATGATCATTACTCCTGTTCAGCTAATGCCAAAGACTCAGTTGAGCTCATCCAGCAGCTTGGGTTCACAGTTCACCCAGAAAAATCAGTGTTTGAACCCAAGCAAAAAATGGCAGTTCCTTGGCTTTATCATTGACAGCATTCCCATTCCCTACCTACAAAAGCTGAAAAGGTACAGGTAGCCTGCTAAGCATTGCTTAACAAACATAGACCAACAATTAGGGAGGTTAAACCTCGCCACAGGGTTTCAAGAGAAACTATCTCTCGTTGGATACGCCAAGTGATGTTCGATGCTGGAAAAGATGTAAATGTTCTCAAGCCCCATAGTGTCTGTACAGCAGCAACTTATAAAGCCAAAGCTGCATCTGTTCCTTTGCAAGACATTCTAGAGAGGGCTGGATGGAGCTCCTCCAGAACTTATGACACATTTTATAACAAACCGTTAAAAGACAACCCCTCTTTTGATATAGCTGTACTAGACACAACTGCTAAAGACTTATTCTAAGTTATGTTGTAAAGGCATTTATATGCTGTTATAACTAAAGCAATTACACAGCTTATTTTATTGTGTTTCTTTAGTATCATGTTATCCAATTTATGGTTGCATTTGTTTTATCATTAAAACAGACGTTATCAGTTGTTATATAAT